AGTGAAGGGGTACAATGACTCTATTTCGTGGGGGCTTCTATTTAAGCCCCATGGCCGGCTCAAGCTCACTCTCTTGGCCATTTGCATTGACATAGCAACCTTGTGAGCTTAGCCAAAGCCCTCCCACTCATCTCCATCATTGATTCATCATCTTTGTGAGATTGGGAGAGAATCCAAGTGCATTGCTTGAGTGTTTGCATCTAGAGGCACTTGGTGTTCGTGTTTCGCCGCGGGATTCGCTTATTACTCTTGGTGGTTACCACCACCTAGATGGCTTGGAGCAGCGAGGATCGTCGAGCGGAGGCTGGTGATTGTCTCTGGCTCCGATCGTGGTGATTGTGAGGGGTTCTTGACCTTTCCCCGGTGGAGAGCCAAAAGGTACTCTAGTGAATTGCTTGTGGCTTGTGTGATCCTCATCTTGTGTTGGTTGTGCGGCACCCTATTGAGGGTTTGGCGTGTGATGCCAATTAGCTCGTGAACCTCTAAGTGAGTGAATCGCCACAACGAGGAGTAGCTTGCCGGCAAGCAAGTGAACCTCGGTAAAAAATCATTGTGTTCATCATTTGATTCCGAGGTGATTGGTTTTCATTGGCATTCATTCTTGTGATTGATTGGTTCACTCCTCGACATGGCGGTATAACTATCTTGCTCACTCTCTTTACATTACCGCAAACTAGTTGTCAAGCTCTTTAGTGTAGCTAGTTGTGAGAGCTTGTTAGTTTGGTTAGTGTGGCTTTTTAGTTAGCCTTTGAGAGCACACTAAATTAGTGTAGTGACATAGCTATTGTGTGGATACATACTATATAAACTAGAATTGTGGTAGGTGGCTTGCAATTTTAGTAGGCTAACGCAACACTTGCTTCGCCTCATAATTGTCTAACCGGTTTGCTAAGTGTTGTTGTAGAAATTTTTATTAGGCTATTCACCCCCCCTCTAGCCATTAGGACCTTTCAGCGTTACAATCACATAGTATCGGACTTTCTCACTTGTGCATTCAAAAAAGAGTAGTACACATTGTGCCAACGATTAACATTTATACAATGCCTGACGCATGTGGAAGCATTCAGTCATTGTCTGGCGTGTTACAATCACATAGTTTTGGACTTTCTCATGTGTGCATTTAAAAAAGTGTAATACACATTGTTCTAACGATTAACATTTACAATGCCTGATGTAGGTGCAAGCATTCAGAACAGAAATACACTAACATGGATTACTAAGTTAATAAGGCCCTTGTGCATTTCACTGTCGATGGCAAGCAGATCGGGCATCAGGAGCCGCATCCACTCCTGGCACTAGGCCACAACCTCCTCCTCTTTGGGTCACGCATTGAACAACTAGCGCCGTAGCCTATCGGTCCATTTCTCCATGAAGCGCTTTAGGATCTTCTTCATCATCGACTTCAGCGACACAATCGGCTTCCACCTGGTAATGAGCATGTGGAACATGTTGTACCCTTCATTCAGCGAACAACACTAATGGCAATGAACTGGGACACCAAGCGCGGTACAACAAGCTTGTCGACGAATGGCGTCCACCAATCGGTCCCACCAAAAGCGAGCTCATACTGCAGGACCATCTTGTCATCGCAATTTGCCGTGAAGAACCACCTGCACAGAGCACCCTACCAATCGCATCCAGGGAACTCACCCTTTAAGAGGTCAAGCATTTTCCTGGGTGACATCTCGGACGCCCACCTCATCAGGTACCCACGCGTCTGTAGCTGCCATTCCTCTCGGCGGTGGCTTGTTGCGGACATTTCCAAGTCCGTGCTGCAGGTAAGGCATGATGACCCCATCGACAAACTCGTTCCAATCATCAGGCCAAGCCACTTGCTTCCATGGCAGCACAGTGTCATAATTTTGGTGCGCATTTTCACCAATACACTTCAACAGGAGCTTCTGGACCGCGTTCAGTACCTTGGTGAGCATCGGCTGTAGCAAGTCTCGGGAGATGGTCGATATCCACAGCTGTAGAAATAAGTTGACTAGAACAGTCTCCTAGGACGCACAGTACCTGTTTATGGTGTCGGACAGTCCGGGCAAGACTACATCATCCAGGAATTCCCTAGCGTGAGGGAACTTTGGCGGTAGGTTGTGCAAGAAATGTACCAGTTGTTCCTGCTGTGCGAACCTAGTGGGAGTCCACGTCTCCTTCAACCATTTTATAATGGGGTCAACCACCAGTTCAATGAGTAGCCTGGCATATGGAGAGCAGGCAGACCCGTCATCCAAGAGTATGTACTTGAGCTTGCTCACCACCTCCATGTTCCTGTTCGGCTGCTCCAACGGATCATACCACGTCAACTGCTTGAACATCTCCTGCAGGATAGGGACCAACATCTTGCTCGCTGTGTCCGGTAGGGACATCAAACAGGAGGGATACTCAGTCAGCAACTTCATGAACTCACTGATAACCGTATCCAAGATGACCTCAGTGTGGCTCTCTGTCACACCTGATTTTAAGGACAAAATTGAATGCACAACATATGTATGTCAGGATCAATTTATTCATACATATGTCGACTTCATTATAGTATCATAGCAAAGTTGCTTACATAACAAAAACTTTATTACAAAAATGACCCATGGGTCTGAAAGAAAATCTTATAAACTACTAGCGAAAAGGGACGCCATCTCCACAGGAAGGTTGATCGGGGCAGCACTAGCCTAGTATACATCATCAGGGTCAAAGGCACCATCTTCAATGTACTCCTTCTCGTCGTTTCCAGCATCTAGGTGGGGTAGCAAGGGGGACAAAGAGGAAGGGTGAGTACATCGAAATGTACTCTGTAAGTGTAGGAAAACTATGACATGAGGGCTAACACAAGGAAAGGCTTACAAGGTTTGACACAAAACACTTAAGCGACACATCCTATTTTTCCTTAAATCCTTAGCACCATTTATCTAAGTGAGACTTGCTTTCTCCTCAGAGAACCAAACCATACTTGGATTCCATCCAAGCACCACACTTGGATTCCATCCAAGCACCCAACTGAACCTTCCATTCCCTTACAAAAGGGAACCACCCATCCAAGCCAGAGCCATCTAATCCCAAAGAAGTCCAAGCCGCTCTTAACTATGAGCACGACTGATATACCAGTTTACACTCTGTAGAGATTGCACACTTTCACCATGAGTCATGTTTTCCCCATTACGCTTCACATTGCCTAGGTGCTTAGCGGGGTCACACTATAAGGCCTTTACAACGCCCCTCCAAGCCTGTTTTACACCTCCTCTAAGGTTTCACCGCTAACAGTGGGTACCAACACCACTGCAGAAGTCCATACTTGAGCCACAAAAACCGACCCGATGTAGCATAACTTGGAGGAAACTAATTACTTGGCCAGGTCCGTCCCATTCCAGCCTCATGGCTGCGCTGTTAAGCTGGGTTATAGGCTTCGAGAACCGGTCCTTAGAATCTAGGCAGGAACTAGCACAAACCCATTCCACCGTTACTAACTTTCCACCGGAAAACATTTACCCAAAAATCTGGCACATACCACCACCAAGACCATCCATCCTGCCGGAATCCCTAATCACCATGTTGCTAAAAAGATTACTGTCCCAAGGTTGCATAGATCATTAGTCAATATTAAATTGTAACCATGATTTTGGTATGTTGCTCCTAGGGAATGCATCTGACAGCAATGCTAATAGTGCATCAAAATAGTTGTTGCTAACTTGATAGTGGGACTTGATATAGAGCAACCTGACAAGGAAAGAGAATCTTGAGTAGGTAGATCCAGAAGAAACTGATTGCTTCAATTTAGCCAACACTCTTTTAAACTTTGGCTCTCTTCTAGCCCGCTCTTCAGATGTTAACATGTTTCTAACTAAATCATCAAAATATGGTAATATGTTATCGTCGCCGTCCTCCTGCTCCTCCTCCTCTGCAATCCAACCATCATGATGAGATCCATGCATATCTGATGGCTCTATAATGTCAGTGTTTGAAGATTCTTCCCCATGATGAATCCATCTGGTGTATGTGGGTGACATTTTGTATACAAGTAAGTGGTCCTTCATGTCCTACCAAGTATGATCCACCTGGTTAAGATAATTTCAACACGAGCAAGGGATCTTTTGCCCCGGGTATCTTTGTGTCGGTGTTTTTTACCGGTAGATATTTTGGTTCTTGGTCGTCTGTCAAACGCACCTTGGTCGTCTGTCAATAGTCGGGTGGTTTGTTGTTTGGGTACAAAGAGGTAGCCTAGGTTGCCAACATCGACTTTGATCCCGATTGCCATGCAAGCTGATAAATGTGCGCTGTTGGGAGATGAGCTTGTTCTAGTGCCATCCTCGGGTCATGCTGTCTTGTCAATCCCGTTTCACACGCAAGCCAGGGGCGCGCAGTCGTCTGTAAGTCGGAGCGCTGCGACGGTTCGGTTCCCCATGAATGCACATGGTGGAGATTTAATTCCTTTTTAATTGAGATGGCGGTTGAGATTTCTAGAAAGGCGGCTTGGTCCTATTTAATCAGGCCCGCTCGTGATGAATCTGCAACCTCCATTTCCAAATCTCATAGCAAAGATGAGGAAGAAAACCGATGGCTGCAAACGTCCCCACAAAGTGTCATGTCTGCTACTCGCGGCGTCACCCAGCCAATCGGCCACGGCGGTGTCGTCAAGTAGTATGCCATTGCCTCTGCCATCTACGACCGTGTCTCCGTCCCCGACATCCTCTGGAGCCCTAGCCCCAGCGGCAGCATTGCCATTGGCAATGATGCCGGTGACTCTAGCCCCGGCAGTCCTAGGAGGGGAAGCTGGGGTCGATGAAGTTGCCGCGTCGGGGTCTCTGGCCAGGCCCTTGAGCTAGCCAGCACCATCTGCACCAGAGGTGGTGATCGAGCTATCCAACTAGGATGAGCCGGAAGGCTCAACCCAGTCAGTGGGTGCTGCTCCCGCCGCTTCGGTCATCTCCACCACCCCTGCCACCTCCATTGCCTCCGCCATTCCCAACATCCCCAGGCTCCTCAACTCCTTGTGCCGCTGGCCAGACATGAGCCACGATGAGGAGATTGCGAGGAAGCTCTTCATCGAGCTGAATCGAGAGGCCATTGGCATCCCGGGGGATGGTGGGCTTGTGATCCTCAGCAGCGATGATGAGGAAGAGGCCGTCGAGGAGGAGGAGGTCAACGAGGAGGAGGAGGAGGAGGTGAAGCACAAGCCCATAGGCGGCGGGTCATCGTCAAGGAGCTAGGCTGCTCCCATCTCATCATCAAGCCCTATAAGGAAATTGGTGACAATCAGAGGTGAAGGACGAGCCCACAGGCGGTGAGTCACCGTCGAGGAGCTAGGCTGCTCCCATCTTGTCATCAAGCCCTGTAAGGAGCTTGGTGACAATCGGAGGTGGTGCCTGCTCCATTCATCTTTGATTAGGGTTCTAGTTTATCCATTTGTAAATCCATCTTCATGAATTATCAATGAAAAATCTAGTCCCTGATATGAATTGTTGTTTTGTGTTTATCCGTGTTTTTTCAAACTGTTCCGTGCTCGAGTTGCCATGAGCAGAGTAATGGCGCACTTTACATGTGGACATAGTCCAAAGTTGGGATTACTTTAGCGGTGCCATCCTGATTACTGAGTTTAGCCACAGCCCCGAGCTACAGACTAGTCGGGCTGCTATAGTCGGGTTGGAGCTTTACTCATAATTTGGGTGCAAAATATCTTAAGTACAAATTATTCACAGGGCATCGAATCACCAATTTTATTCTGTGAATAAAAAAGTGATAGTTTTCCTTATGAATAACTGCTAGCATGGTAGTCTAGGCACACATTACGGCTGTCGAGCGATTTTTGGAGGTTTGTGTGCGACAGGCGGCCATTTAACCCCTCACGTCGCTTCGGTCGCAACCACTGCGCCTATTCTCCTGCTAAGCATTTCCAATCCCTACCTTTTGCCTTTTCGCTTGCCCTCTACTTCTCCCTTTCACCGCCGCCATGGCCTCAAGCTCTGAGCACAATGCTACCGCTCGTCGCGAGGAGACCACCACTTCGGAGCCCCAGCCCCTGGCCTAACCGAAGGAGGAACCCGAGGACCTAGCGGAGCCGACAGTGCCATTGGTGGTCACCCAGTTGAATGAGTACTGGACAACCTTGATGACATCAGAGGCGAACCTAGAAATACTGAGGGTGCGTGGTCTGTCCCTGCAACACTGTGACATGTAATATATTAAGTACTTTGTTAGTCTTACATAATTCTTCTTTCTATTGCTATTTTGACCTATCATCAAGCGAACAGTTATACTTTTAGTAGCTAAACTCGAGCGCTTTGTGTACTGTGTCGAAACCGTTTACTTGATTTAGGCTTATCATGATCGAGAATTTTTGTAGACTAGTGAATAGTAGTATGATAGCCCCCGACTCTTTATTTGGATATGTGTGACTTATCCGAATAAAGAGTAGAAGACTAGTCAAAGAAAACATTGGAATTGAACAGCCCTAGCCCTAGCCCCCGAGCGTATATGCTCGGCAAAACTAATACTAATAGAGAAATAAAATTAAACAATAAATGAAACACTTATCTGGGTTGTATGCTGAGAAACAGAACACTAGGAACGCAGTTTATTATGCATAAAAGCGTTGTAGCTGGTCCATGTTCCACGTATTCAGGAGCATATCCCCATCTATCTCTGCTAGTCGGTATGCACCTGGTCGGGCTATATCAACTACAATGTATGGACCCTGCCAAGGGGGGGTCAACTTAGTTTTATCCTTTGTGCGTTGGTCTCGTTTGAGTTCCAGATCGCTGATACTAAAAGCCTGGCCGCGTACACGCTGGCTATGATATTTCCGAAGGGCTTACTGGTATTTCTTGACTCGAAATGCGGCTATATCACACTTCTCTTCGAGGAGTTCTAGGTTGGTATAACAACGGTCAGCTTGCTCTTCTTTGAAGAACATTGCTACTCGGGGCGAGTTTTGTCGGACTTCGGGGGGAAGGATAGCTTCAGCCCCGTACACAAGGAAAAATGGCGTTTCACCCGTGGCCCGGTTAGCTGTAGTGCGCACTGCCCATAAAACTGTGGGGAGTTCTCCGACCCATTTTTTATCATAGGCACTAAGCCTATAAAAAATATGGGTTTTGATCCCTTGTAGAATTATTCCGTTAGCACGCTCTACTTGACCGTTGGTCATCAGGTGGTAGACTGAGGACCGATAATGCTTGATGGCATGTCTTTCAAAAAAATTCTCAAATTTTTTTCTGGTAAATTGTGTACCATTATCCAAGAGTATTCGGTGCAGTACACCAAAACGCAGTACAATGCTCTGCAAAAATTTGACTGTATTTTCTTTGTTTATCCGGCCTACTGGCTCGGCTTCAACCCACTTTGTGAAAGTATCAATCGCTACAATAAAAAATCTATAGCCACCCTGGGCTCCTGGAAATGGACCGAGGATGTCGATGCCCCATGTGGCAAATGGCCAAGACAAAGGGATCATATTTAACGCTTGAGCAGGCTGGTGAATCTGCCGTTTAAAAAACTGACAACATTCACATGTTCTAACCAACTCAGTGGTGTCTTCGAGCGTTGTAGGCCAGTAAAATTCTTGTCGAAAGGCTTTCTCGACCAGCGTTTTGTGAGAGGCGTGGGACCCACATATTCCTCCGTGGATGTCGTGGAGCAAACTAATGCCCTCGGCCTGGGTGATACACTTGAGAAGAACCCCATTTTGCCCTCGCTTGTAGAGGGTACCGTCTACCATTTGATAGCCCATGGCTTTATGGCTGGTTCGTTCTATATTTGTATCATCGACTAGAGGAGCCTGGTTTGTGAGGTACACCCGGATTAGATCCATCTAGTTCTCCCTATTTCCAACTAGAGCTGTAGCACGAGCTGTATCGCCCAGCGTAGACTTCCCAAGGAATTCGCTGAGTATTGCCTCGTCGCTTGATGGATCAAGCATGGGGTTTGGACCCGACTTTGACATTGGGATAGAGGGTTTTGTTAGCACTTCGTCCAAGACGTCTCCTGATAGGTGCTGTCATTCAGCTGCCTAGATAGCGAGCATGTCAGCATTTGAGTTTAGTTTTCTCAGGATGTATTCGACCTCGAGTCCATCAAATTTAGATTCCAATCGTCTATATGCCAGTAAATATGCGGCCATATTCTCGTTTGTTGCTCGATAATCCTTGCTGGTTTGTTTAGCGACTACTTTTGAATCCCCTTTCACAAGTAGTCATTTAATACCCAAGGATATGGCAATTCGTAAACCGGTTAACAGGCCCTCATATTCAGCAATATTGTTTGTTGGAGTAGGATCCATAAAATCAATTTGAATTGCATACCTCATGGCATCCCCTTCCAAAGAGATTAAGACGACACCAGCCCCTGCGCCATTCTTGGATTTTTCTCCATCGTAGAACATCAGCCAGTGCTCAGGGTTCTGAGCCACCTCCTTGGGTTCGGGATTTGTCCACTCTGGATCGGGCATCATGTAGCACTTCGCTCACAAAATGCACAGGGTGTTGTTTTGTTGATTTCTCGGCTTGACGCTCGACCACTAGGACCACGTTGACAACCGTGGGAGTTGCTGCTACATAAAGGAGCATGGTTTCACCATCTTTGGGAGGAACAAGTATAGGTAATTGTTTCAAGTATTGCTTGAACACCTGAAACGCTACTTTGGCCTGTTCACTCCAAAGAAAATTGTCATGCTTTTTAATAACTTATAAAATGGCATACCTCGTTCACCTAACTTGGATACGAATTGACTTAGGGCTGCCATCATGCCAGTTAGCTTCTGGACTTTTTTTTGTTGCATGGAGACTGCATCTCATCAAAGCCTTGACCTTTTTCGGGTTAGCTTCGATGCCCCGATGAGACACCAAATACCTGAGTAGCTTACCCGAGGAAACGCCAAAAGAACATTTTTTAGGGTTTAGCATCATTTTGTTCTTACGTAAGTTATTAAAAGTTTATTCTAGATCAGCGATCAGATCGCCTCGGAATTTGCTTTTAACAACAATATCATCAATATATGCTTCCACATTACGGCCGATTTAGCCTTCAAGAACAATATGAACACATTTTTGATACATAGAACCGACATTCTTAAGGCCAAAAGGCATCTTAATATAATAGTACACACCGAAAGGAGTTACAAATGCAGTTTTTTCGTCATCAGCTATGCACATGCTAATTTAGTGATACCCTGAATAGGCATCTAGAAAACATAGCAATTCGCCTTCGGAGGTTGAATCTACGATTTGATCTATCCTCGGAAGAGGATATTCATCCTTAGGGCGTGCTTTATTCAGATCGGTGTAGTCCACGCACATCCACCATGTGCCATTAGGCTTCTTGACCATGACGGGGTTTGCTAACCACTCTAGGAAGGGGACCTCTCGTACGAAACCAGCCTTTAGTAGTCGGTTGATTTCATTTCGTATGGCGGCTCACTTCTCAGGTGTGTAGCGTCTTTGTTTTTGTATGACTGGTCAAACGCCAGCTGGTACATCCTTATTTTCCCGGAGAAAAGTAATGAGCTCGAGTTCCTATTGAGGAGGAAGGTTAGTCCCGATATGAGTGACCTTATCGAGATTGGTCTAATCAATGTTGACAGGCTTGGTGGTCTAGTCTCCAGTTGTGACTTCCTTTGATTGAGGGGTGTCATCTGGCTTGTCCACGACCGCCGCCTGTTCAGAGTTGACTACGTTGATCTTCCGCTTCTGAGACTGTGGGAGTTTTGAAGTCTAAGATTGCGAGATCATCGGGATTAGAACTTCAGAGGGTATTGGAGCCTAAGGTTGAGGCAGTGCCAAGATTTGAGTCTCTGGAAGGACAGGAGCCTTGGCCCTAACTTCAGCTACTTTAGAGCTCTCTACCTCCAGGATTGATGACTTGACCACAACCGAAGCTGTTACGATAGGCGTAGGTAGAGTGGCTGCTGGCGTTGTCATATTAGTCAGGTTTGTGGTCTTCTGCTGCTATGACGGTGGCTCAGCCGAGTCTGTGAGAACCTGCCTGAACTGCTTGATTAGGTCAAGAGTTTTCATATCGAAGGTGATTGCACCTTTCTGGTCACCATATATAGTGAGGGGACCATGGGGCCCGGGTACCTTCAGCATCGAATAAGTGAAGTGGGCAACAGCCATAAATTTCATTAGGAACGATCGTCCTAGAATGCAGTTGTAGGCTGACTCAAAGTCGGCTACCTTGAAAGTCAGGATTTTGGACCATAGGTTCTCGCCATCTT